ATTACCTTAATTGACTAAATCTCTTATTATGGTAACCATTTAGCGCTTCCATTTATACATCCCTTGGAGCCAACTTGTCAACAATGCTGCTCTTCACTTGATAATCATTGTCCTAGTCCATTGAATCTGCATAGTCACCCGATTCCTGAGCATCTTTTCGTTATGCTTGAGGATTCAATCCCTTAAATGGAGTATATGCGGTTGGTTTGAGAGGACCGTTTTCCAACAGTGTGTCTCATTTTTTATATGGGATGTATTCACCCTAATTCATTTAAGGTTATGAACAACTTGTAGTAGAATTTTCCCACAATGATATGCCTAGAGCTGACGTTTCTATTGAATTTCAAATATCAGTGTTTTCCCAAAAGGTGTTCTCATCCAGGGTAGACTGCAGGTTTGACCTCGCATAGGTCTCGTCAACACCCCCCGCGGGAGTCAAATAGTGACAGTACAGCATGTGAGATTGACATGTTAACCACTCTGCAACATTTCCACGCGTATCCTTTGGTCACAGGGCAGATATTAATTTCAAGAAAGGCCAGACCCTTTCCCATATCACATTCTTTGTTGGGATTGTCGATGAAGCAAAATTATATTTGATATGACAATCGACTACATTACTTATTCTTCGTTCATAGATAGGGCTTTGAGACTACCAATAAAGCGGTTATATGAAATGTTTTCACCCTATTTCGTTTAAGGTGAGGAAAGATGGGTAATTGGATTTTCTCACAGCTCTACTCATAGCATTGTGGGAAAATCCAACTATCAGCCCTTTATTACCTCAAACGAAATAGGGTGAAATTATTTCATATAATCGATTTACTGGTGGTCTCGAAGCTCTACTTATGAATGAAAAGTAAATCTCATTTTTTGTTTTATAAGAAGATTTTCGGGAATATCGGTACAGTATATATACATGAAATCTATTTACCCTATTTCGTTTTTCTACTAGTTGCATAGTAGTTGGGGTAGTTGCATTTTACCACAATCATATAAGCAGGCCTCATGCTTCATTCAGTTTCACCTAACGTTGCTTAGTAAAAGGAATTCTCAGCCAAACCCGAGTGGACTGCCGTTTTAACCCCACCTCGGTCTCATCAGCCACCCCAGCAGGACTCAAACCTATGTTGTTGCAGTGTAACGTGAAGTTTCGCACTTATGGTAACCAGACTTAAAAACGGATATATGCAATTAGACCGTGGAGATTAAGACCAAACTGGCGTGGCCTCTTGTTTAGCCGCAGTCTCCTTGATCTGTATACTCTTACTTTGCCTTCATTTTTGCAACTTGGTCGGAGCGACAAGGAGTCGTTGTAGAATGCACCCAATCCTGCGTCCTCTACCCTCAAGTATATATATTGATTTCTAACATAAGACTTGATACATCTCCAAGCGTTTCTCCAGCGTTGTTAATAAGAGGCGCCATCTTTGTACAAAGTTACAGATTATCAAAGTGACATATGAAAGCAATCCTTTGATCACTTTTCTGTGGCATTACTCCTAGCCTCTATTTTGTATCTCACCTTTTGGTGCCACGTCTTTTTCTCTCAACCCTACTTTATTTCACCCAGTTATCTATTCACACCTTTCTGTGCTCTCGTTTCTTCCTATGTCGTCCAAGAGTGTCTCCCTACAAGTGGGTTTAGTGAAGCGTAATCATCTTCACCAACAGTTTCTGGCTTCTGACGTTCTTTGTAATATGTAATGCTGTCGATTGTAATAAGCATCGTCGAAACTCCCACTACCAAAATGGGACATGACAACGGTCTTTGCTTCGTTATAATTCGTTTCTGCCCTGTGACACACGCGTATTTAAGGCGTTGGGATGTAGTGATTAACGTATCGAGACTACACGCTGCACCGCTACAATCTGGGATAGAGTCCCGCTGGGAGTGCTGATGAGACAAGTTAAGGCAAAGTCAAAACTGCAGTTCACTCCTGTGAACTGTGAAAGTTAATAGAAGCATGAGGACGACTAATATGAATGTATGAATATCCAATTACCAGTCCTTCATCACCTTTAAGGAAATAGGGTGAACACAGTTCTTATATATGACAAGCTTGCCATATCAAAAAACCCACAATAAAAATGTGATTTGGAAGAGGTCTGGTTTGCTTTGAAATTCACGTCTAATTGATGATTCTCATGTATTTGTGTCATTTAGGCGTATTGTTAAGCTGAAATAAAAATAAACGCCTCACATTTCCGGGTTCGATTCCCGCCGAGGATGAAGCGAGGTCACGAGCAAGGCTCGTACAAGCTGGAATGCGAATCGCGTTTGAGGGTACTGGACTCATGAGGCCTAATCATGAAATTTAGGCAAAATTCAACTATCAAATTGATACTAACATACTTTTCAATTCGTTTTAAAAGGCAAGTGGAAGGGATTGGTAGTTTGGCTTCCCCGAATACCAAACTAAGGTTGCTTTGAACTTTTGTCTGTTGAATTGTGCGAAGAAGACCTCGGCTGACCGTCCAACGATCCTGATGGGTCCGTGTTGAGCCCTCGTTCGTCATGTGATGGATATCTTCAGAGTCGGAATCCATCATTCACGAACAATCACCCAAAACCACCAAACCAAGAAGAGTGGCCAGCTGAGATCCTACTTACTACTTATAACTTGCTTTGTGATCTTAATGAGGCATTCCATCATGCATCAGTTTCACAAAGATCGCAAAGTTGGACATAAGAAGAAAGTCTGATTTCAGCGAGCCACCTTTCATGGTTTAGTGTTTTTTAGTCATTTTTTTTGTAAATGCTGGATTCTAGCTCGGATGATGTCCATCACAGGCCCAGTACGGAAGCACCGGGGTCGTAAGACGGTGAAAAGAGGTGTTTTTCGCAAAATTCACAAGACAAAAGTCCAAGGTAACTCTCCTTCGGTGTGAGGGGGGGGGGCAATTTACGAATATTTTCCACCCGCTTTCTCACACAAAATTAAGGGTATGCCAGTATCATTCTACAAAGGAAGTCTTCGAAACCCAGTCTCTCTTCATATCTCAACCATCAAATTTACTGAGATCCCCAAAGGTCACTTTCATTGAAGATGCTAACTCACCTGAATTCGAGCCTCGTTCAACTTGGTCATACGAGCCAGTTCTTCGCGGCAGTAGATGTCCGGATAATGCGATTTCTGGAAGGCCGTCTCCAACTCTTGCAACTGATCCTGACTGAAGGTGGTCCGATGGCGCCGACGAGCCGGCGTCGGACAGCCAGTTCCGGTACCACATCCACCGGCCGCCGTGGCTGCTGCTGCTGCGGCGGCTGCTGCAGCCGCCGCCGTCAGTCCGCCGACGGCAGCCGCCACCAGACTGGCCCCGGAGCCCAAAGAGCCTGCCATGACGACGGCCAGACTGTTGCTGCCCGCTGTTGCACTGCAACCAGCTGAGCTGACCACCGCTGACCGGTTGCCGGATGGCGGGTTGTTGCAGATGGTGCTGGCGTCGTGGTTTGTGTCTTTGAGAGATTTGTTCTCGAGGCCTCTCTCGGAGGGGGGCAGCATGACGAGGCCGGCTTCTGAGCCGCCGGAAGGCGAGCAGACGAGAGGACTCGAGCCGCCTATTGGACTGTTGGTACCGGCAAACACGGATGGCAACTGGTGAAGATGCTGGAAGGGCTGGAAGTGCAGTTGACTCGGCTGAGGATGCGACAGTGGCAGCTGCATTTGAAGCTGCTGCTGTTGTTGTTGAAGATGATGCTGTTGTTGCTGGTGGTGCTGTTGATACTGTTGATGTTGGAGGTGGTGCTGATGCCGGAGTGCGGCGGCCACAGCCGCGGTCGCCGCTGCACTGGCGCCGCCGGCGGCTGCTGAGGCGAGAAGAGCGGCTGTTGTTGGGGTGATGGGAAGAAGAGGGGTGGTGGCAACCTTGTGAGGTGGACTCGAAGTCAGGCCGGCTCCGAGGCTGCCAAGTGAAAAACTGGCGGCTGACAATCGTGATTGGCCAGTCGGGCTGGAGACTGAGGCTGTACTGTCTCGAATGCCGGTCTCCACGGCGACGTGAAACGACGCAGTTGCCGAGCCTAGAGTTGCGAGTTGTAGGCAGGCTTTCAGGTCGGAGGAGGAGGAGGAGGAGGAGGAGGAG